CCCCTCAACCCGTTGAATTATGCATTCGATTTGGCCCAGCCCGTGGCCGTTGATTTGTCCCCATGGCTGGAGGTCTTTGAATGTTAGAGTTTGAATCTTACTTCGAAACCAAGAATCAATTTCACGCTCAGTGTCGTCTGAAAACATCATTTTTGAGCTTCCTGAATTTTTAATGACGCGCGTAAGCGGATGTGGCATTGGTGGCTGACGGGAACGCCATTAAAATCAACAAGAGCGTATGTGACAGGTCTGTTTGCTAAATTATTGAGCGCTGAACCAAGCCCAAAATAGGTGCTCTCACATCATTCTGACGGCTGATCATTTGGAGCCGAACTCCGTTGCGCTACTTCTACTAATTTACCGAAAACGCCTGGCCACCATCCATTTCCGCCGCCAGGCTCTGACATCTTGGCACGTTGAGCTTTTCCCGTTTGCTTGAGGTCAGATTTTGCCCGGTGGCCCACAGAAGTGTTGGTCGGGATCGTGTCACGCCCAGCGGGGCGGGCAAAGGCCAAAATGAAATTTGCATCACCAAACTATGGCGTTCTCTGGTGCCTGGAATCCTCGACGGCCGGAGCGGTCTGGGCCACTGATTTATTAGCTTCGACGAGTTTTTAGTTTTTAGTTGCGCAACGAAATTATATTTTTTACTCTATCGCAGGACCTTCCCTTATATGGTTTGTTTTACCGTGGCTGTAACACATTATTTATTTCATTGCCCAGAATTTTTCCTGTTGTCTGCAGCCTATCGATGGCACTATGGCCTAAAATTCTAAATGACAATCTTCCCTTTTTCAATTCCAGAAATGTTTCGTTTATTTATAAAGCACCCTCCTCAATTTCAGCCACTTCTCTAAACTCTTTCTTCGTTTGGGAACGCTTTAAGCCCACGCCTCTCGCTTCTCCCGGATCGTTTTGCTCCTCAACCCCGTCACGCCAGCTTCCTGGCCCCTTTTTTGGCTGGCCTTCCGAAAATCGTGCCTTGATTCCTTAGCGGGCGGCCAACTTATAACTCTTCTCATTTTGGCAGCAGCCGAGCAACGGGTATCGGGGCCAAAGATTTTACAGATGAATTTTATATTATTTTTGTGGGGTTTTCTTGATTAAATCTTTTTGCACTTTGTTGATTTATTTTTAAAAGCATCGGGATGGAATTTACTACTTTACAGTACTTGAACCTTCAGAAGAAAACTTCGAGAAGTTGCCAAATTGCTGAAAATTAGCTTTCAGATCCTATTGAAATTAGACTAACAATAGCCCTGAAAAACACTCTTGCTCTGGATTCTATACGAGTCAACTGTCCTATTTTTTACTGCATTTTCTATGCATCACCACAAAGCCACAAATGAACGTTTTCAGCGGGTTCATCATGTTGGAAGATGGATTCGGCAGAAAGGCTTACGACAGCTACTATTCTGAGGCCTATCCGGTTGCCACCCACCGCGATAAATCAAGAAGCCTTTTGGGAGAGCAGGTAATTTTTAAAGTTTTCTAAACGTGTTCTATTTTTGGCTCTTATTTTCCCAATTATTTCGAAAAATCCGATTTCCAAAAATCTGGAAAAATCTATTTTCGTTATGTTTTCTCCAAAACGTGAAGACGCTTCCTGGTATTGCCAGGGAAGTGTCCCCATTCCTCACTCACGCCCCGACTACCCTTTCAGCTCCGAGATCAGCTTTTGCAGCGTTTGAAAGGTGCTTTTGACCAACACAGTTCCGTGTTCCTTGGAATTTACCCCAGAATCCAGAAACTGGACCCAGTTTCCGCAAATTCATGACCTCTACCTGAAATCATGACGATACATTACGATCCTCTTCAAAAATCCCCCATGTGATTTCGGTTTTTTTTTCTGCAGGGTGACTAGACCTGCTTCCAGCCCTCCAAATTCACTCCATCAGCCGCCGGTCCCGGGCGACAACTCCTTGTGCTTCTTTTTACCCCCGCGAAGGAGTTCATTTCCTGAAATGCATTTCCCCACTTCCCGTGTCCCTTGGGGGTTCGTCGGTTCGGAGGCCACCTGCCCATTCGCCAGCGTTTTTCAGGGGCTGCTGTCTTTTTTGGTTCTTAAGATCTTTTCCTAAAACCTTCACTCTATTTGAATGCTTTAACATATTATGTTTCTTTTGTTAAATAAGCGGATTCAATAAATTGGATAAAAAGGTTTTGAGGTCGAAAATGCGCTTCGACACCAAGCAAAGTGCATTTTGAGAAAATTCGCTCCTGTTTTGTCTATTTTTCCTGTAGCTCTCTCTCTCTCTCCTCTCTCTCTCTCTCTCTCTCTATCTCAAGCTCTCTCGCTTTTCCTTCTCCCTCCTCTACCTCTCGTTTTCTCCTTTCTCTGTCTTTCTTCACTCTCTCTCTCTCTCTCTCTCCCTCTCTCTTTCTCTCTCTCTCCCGCTCCCTATTCTTCCTCTTCCAATCGTCTATACTAGCACTCAAGGGCGAAATCACGCATCCGTAAATTCCGTTTTAATCTAATTTCGCTACGCTAACTTTTAACCGAACACCCAAGACGTCTCAAGAAACCCCCGTCTAAGTCCAAAAATTAACTTTCTAAAGAAAAGCCTAAATCCCAGGCCCAGGGCCCCCATGAAGTGGCACTTCACGGTTTCGCGCTTTGCGAGCTCCCTTCCCGAACACGAAACTCCCCAAAAATTGCCGACCAGCGAATGTTTTAAATAGAGAATATTCACCCGGGCCGCTCGCTGCGTGGGTCCTAGAAAGAGCCCAAAAACCTCCATTCTATCCCCCATCGAATGTTATTGCCGATTTTGGAGGTGTTCCCACCTGCTCGGGTAGGCAAGTCTTTGTTTGAAGCTGTTAAAATCCAGTTTTCCGAGTTTTGATTTATTGCTTTTTCGGTATTTAGTACAGGCTGTTTTTATACACCTTCCACCATCGACGACACTCCCGAAGGTCATCACTCCGCGCCTCATTTCTCCTAGCCGGCCCGTCGTTGCGGAAAATCCTTCTAATTGGTGGGGATTGAAGTTTCTGGACCGTTACCCAGCACTTACAGTGGTTTTGAAAGTATGCTTCTCATTATAATGGGGTATTTAAGGCAGCTCGCTTCGATCGATTGCAATGAAAATCTAGTTAAATTTCGGGCGGCTTGCGTCAAAGCCTCAATTTTAGACCTAGAAATCCGCAGCGCTTCCAGGCTTTGAAATTGGAAACTTGCCAACGAACTTTGAGGTTGAAGCTGAATCTTTCTAGCTTTTTTATATAAAAGTGATGCCTAGTCAATTCAAGATTTTGAAAGAACTGGTTTTAAATAACAAGTGCCATTACTCCCCCCCCCGATGTAAAATTTATAAAAAATGTATTTTTATTTTTGCGGGAGGTCTTTTTATAAAATGTATTTTGATGGCTTATGTAAGCATTATTTTATGTGATTACATTATTTAACACAATGTTTCATTTATGATGCAATAATTTACGTGATTTATTAGCTGTTCTGTAGATTTTAGGTTTTGACCTAGATTTTGTGGTCTCCGGAAATCAGATTTTCTGAGCAAAACATCGAAAACGGGCAGTTAAATTTTTTGGAAACCAAAAAAATCCTTCAAAACTGTTTCTATCAAACTAATCCGCATCGCTGGTCAAGAACAGGAAATTTTAGTGTGGCCAAGTAATGCCACGTAGTCCTAACCTTCCATCTCATTAGACGAAAAAGGCATTTCCGACCTTTTGCGCTTTCCAAAACTCTTCCTCGACTCGGACTGGACTCCTGGACCTGGACTCTGGGCGTGTATAAAAAGACAATGCCCCCACATCCAAAATTCGCCCTTTGACGTGTTTTTCCGGAGGTTGAATCCTTAAAACCGGCGGGACATCCAATCTGGGTAAGAAGTTCACCATCGAGCAGATCCGCCCATCGTTTGTTCACACAAAAACCCTGCAAAAGTTCTCGCGCTCACCAACCCACTCCAGATGGCTCTCGTGACGGGCGCTCGCGAATTGATTTCGAGCTTTGGTGAAAAGCCGCCACCGTGTTTGCAATAGCCTAATTTCACCCGACTCAGTAGCAACTTCGAACATTAGTCTCCGGGATTTTCACCGTATTCTGAAGCCCATTCGCAACTACCGAAGACGTTGGGTCGCTTACTTCTCCTTACTTATTTGCACTAAAAATTTCAAGCCGACCCTGAGCCTCAAGTCGTTTTCTGTTACCTGAAAAAGCCTTATTGAGCCGCAACTTTCTGCTCTCGGCTTCATATTTCCCATGAGTGGGTGAGCTGAGCTTCAGTTTATTTTTTCGGCGTGCTCGCTTCTGGTCAAGATTTGAAGCCAACACTTGGCTTGATTTTTCTGAGCGCCCAGTCCCGACATTTTTCAAGCCGATTTTCTAAGCTGCTACTTCATTTTTCGGATCCTATTCGATCCCGAAAATGCTTGCCCCGAATGCCCGGACTCCCCGATTCGAATCCTGCGCATGGCCAAAGAGCAGTGGCCAGAACGATGGAAAATCAAGTGCTCACCATCGATTCGGTCAGCTTCATCGGGCCTGTGTCGAATCGGAACTGCTTTACACCAAATTTGAGGGCCGCTGGAGCTTGAGAAATTTGTGAGTATACCAGTAGCTACATGAAAAAACATTAGGAGCTGTGGCTAATCATAAGCTTTAACTCCAACTCCACTTCTTACAAGGTATAATATAAACCAAAAGATCCCATTATTACAGGTTTAATAATAGCAAAAATGTAAAATGTTCCTGGAAGGTATTATAGAAAACCCACGGTAAATTCGGCCTCCCTCACATGCTTTCAAAACGAGAAAAACCTCCTTGATTAGGGCCATCCAAACTTTCTTAATTAATAGATGACTATTAAGAACGTAAATAATCACCTTTTGAGCCTCAAAAATGTAGCAAGTTTAATCCATGCCGTACGATCTTTTAGCATCGTTTTTCAGCGCCGCTGTCTCGCCACAAATGCTGCCTGGGCTGTGTGAGTCTGCGCGATGCGAATCCCCTGATTTGCGTGATAGAGATTATTATGATGGGTGAGTGAATTTAATGCTTTTCTGCTGTTTAAGAATTTCGGTTTAACTTTTCTAAGCTGTCTTATAGCCTGGTGCGCCATGTTCGCCATTGATTTTGCGGTCAACGACGGGGTGCTGTTTTTTACGCGTGAGTTGGAGGGGCGAGGACAACGGATATCTGCTTGTAAGTTTCGAAAAAAGGTACAGAGCTACTGCTAATTACTATTAACAATATGAAAAAGACTACTATGCAAAAACATTTTTTTAGAAAGTTTTCGCGACTTAAGGCTATGAAACACTAGCGTTTAAGGATTCAAAAGTACTACACTGTCGATCGGCCATCTTCAAAAAAAAGATCCTATGGGATGTATTAAGTTAAAGTTCAACTTAAATAAAGACTATCTTCAAGGTATACCATGCCTATATTAGTACTACCATTACAAAAACATCTTTATAGCGCTTTTTGAGGCGATTTGGCCCTATACGTCGAGTGTTTTAAAGAGTTCAGAGTACGCTATGTCTTCTTCACTACCTAAATGAGGATTCTATTAAGTAACATTTCTATTGCAAATTAAATCCACATTTTTAGGCTAATAAAACGTTGCATCATTTTTAGGCCTTTCGGTCTTCGTTGTCTGCTCCCTTGTCGTTATCGCCGTCACCCTCTTTGCGTGGTATTACAGGAAAAACTCCTATGTCCCCATGTTCTTTGGCAGGTAACAAATAGCTGAAGTCCTGCGAAATAAAATCGATTTAGTTAGTCTTCGTCTCCTACGTGTTCTTCCTCGTCTACCTACTATTGATGCGGATATTTGTGTACAAGAATGATGCATCGAGGTAGGAAAAATCCTAGTAAATTCAAAGTTTTTTGACGTTTGCAGAAAAATCATGATCCCATCGGCGATCACGATAGCCGTGTTTTGTACATTTATTGGAATTTGTGAAATGTGGTGGTAAGTCTTTCGCAGAAAAATTTTGTAGTTTCCAATAGTAAAAAAATAGTATAAAAAACGATCAAAAACGTCTTTTTTGATTTTTTTTCCAAGCGGTCGTCTTTCCTTGAAAAGTTGAATCCTTATGTTCTTGGGCACGTAGAATTGCACTATTCTTCCTTTGATTCTATTACTCCGTTTACTTTCAGGTTATTCATTATGGTGGACGCGTTGCTGTATGACGATCAAAAAAGCTCGCGACGAACCAGCGACAACGAATATCCCAGCCGGCCGCATAACCAGTCAAGACACAACAATTCGCTGCCCATTTTATTAATTAATGACGGGGATAAAATTGATATATGAGGAAGAAAAGCGACTGAATCACACCACCAGGAATTTTGTTTCGCTTCGGAAAATGAGGCAGCTTTTTGAAATTTGAAATTGAAATTTTTTGAATCACAATGAAAGAAATAGTCGCACGACAAACTAAAGGGACCGGCAAGGTAGGATCATGGATTTTGCTGGCCAAAGTGTCATCATGGGTTTTCCCCCTGCCGCACTTACTTGGCACAATCGTAGATTACCACCGACTCGGCGTGGGCGGGTCGCGTGCCCTTGCATAGCGCGGGCCTATCGCGAGTCCGGCGGATTGCTTTGCGTAGCGCACGATGTGTGGCGTTGGGCATCAAGCTGCGCATGGCCTCGTCCATCAGGCCGCCTATAGTCTAGCGTTTTGCGCCGCGTACAACCTGGCCCATCGATGTGCGTATAACCTAGACTCTCGCGCTGCGTAGCGTTCCGCTGAGCGGTGCGTCTCGCGTTGCATGTGGCGTTGTGTGCGGCATTCAATGACACTGCCCCGCGTCGCGCATACAACGCGTATCGCGTTGTGTGACAGACTGTGTACAGCGCTGCGTATTGAGTTGTGTGTCGCGGCCCGGGAAAAACATGTGAAAAACTCATCCACGGCCGTTTGATGGGTATTTGTCACTTCCCGAAAACGATTTGCCCGAAAACCAGTTCCCCGAAAAGCCAGTTCTCCGAAAAACCAGTTCCCCGAAAGCTACTTCCCCGAAAAACTAATTTAGTATGCTAATTTTTGACCCCTAGCCATACGCGATTTTTTTGTTCATACTAACAACCGTGTATTTGGAAATCTCATAATTTTTCGGTGAAGTTGATGTAGTCTTCAGTCTTTTTTGTTGTAGAAAGACGTTCTGCGTCAGTTTGGAGGCAAAATTTTTAGTGTTTTTTAAAGGAAAAAAAAAAGGAAAATGTGTCTGCAGCTCTCCCCTGCCCGCTCTCTCCTCCCTATGATGGCCCCTTCCCAAGGGGGGATCGACACATTCCGCCGACCGTCCTTTAATTTGAATTCAGAAATCGGGTCTGTGGATCCAAAGATACTAAAAATTAGCACATGCTAAATTAGTTTATGGGGAAGTAGTTTTCGGGGAACTGGTTTTCGGGGAAACGTCCGGAATTCCTCCTTGATCATGCAAACCCGCAAAGGTCGGAAAGTGGCGTCACCATATTAATTTGTCGGATTCTGGTTCATTTTCGAACATGTTATGTCCCTTTTGTCATAAAAGAGCAATATTCTGACTAAGCGTTTCGCTTTAAATACCGTCCCTCTCCCCGAACAGTGTTATTTGTTTTCTTGTCCGGTCGGGCTATCGATTTTAGCCTAACCGCTCCACTATCGCGACCATTTTCCCCCGTCCCGCTTTGCCCCCAATTTGGAACAACTGCCCCGGAAAGTTCCGAGGTGCTAATTCGGTGCTGATCATGCTGTTAATCTCGGTATTTACTGTATTATTTTGTATTTGCTCTGCGGCGAATACCTGGAACGCCAATTCCTATCCAAATCCGCGAAAAGATTATAAGGGGTGCCAGATGCGAACCGTGTCAAATGCCTGTGATCCGGAAGAGGTAGGGGTTTTCTGAAGTTTTTGATACTAGAATCGTGACACAACTTCTTAAATTTCTTTCAAATTTTTCGTGTTGTTATTTTAATTTTTGGGTTTTTAAATAGTTGCGGCATTTTTACATAGCCAAGTTTGATTTATTTGCTTACAATTAGTAACCGGTTGCTCTCAAGGAGATTGCTTCATTTAAAGATAGAGAAATAACGTGGTTGATCAGCTCCTTTCTTTGTCCAAGTCTCTCTCTCTCTCTTACTCTCTCACCCTTTCTCTCTCTTCCTCGCTCTCACACACTCTCCCACCCTCACTCTCTCTCGCTCTACCACTCTCTCTCGCTCTCGGTCTCTCTCACTCCCTCTCTCTCACTTTCTATCGCTCCCCCTCCAACCCTCTGTCTCACTCTTTTTCGCTCTCTCCCCCACTCTGTCTCTCTCCTCTCTCTCAAAGGCCGAACCAAATCGATGGTAATCTATACAAATCGGATGGCCATACAAAACTTGTTGACGCTTGAAGCTAGAGCTTCTAACATTATACCTAATCGAGTAAAAAAAAAAAAAATGAAAAACTTAGATTTAGATCTTTCCGAATCCCTTCGCTATCGTCTGCATTCTGCACTCGTTTCACTTGCCACAAAATCGGCTAAACACGATCAGACCTATTGTAGCCGCCAAGGAATTGATGGCGTTATGGTCATAATGAAGCAGGTAAACATGGCAAAAATATTACAACATAACATTCTAAAATCAAGGGGATCTAATCTGGAAAAAGAAGAAAAAGTTATGTCTTTCTTTAGGGTACACAGGCTCTTGCCGATCAGCTCAAACAGAAGTGGGCCAACGACCCTGCAATGCCAGAACCTGGTCGTGTTTCTGTACTCGGACGCCGACCGGAAGTTGTACATGTCCGGGGAGGCGAAATCGGGATTGTGTGAGTTTCAAGGAAATCGACAAAAACCAGTGCAAAGAAAAAAACGGCCAAGTTCAAGCTATGCCTGACGTAAAACTACTGTCGCTGTCCCTTTAAGACAATCCCTCAGCCCAATCCGACTTTGACGCCGCGCTGAACGCCCATATTCAGCAACTCCAACACCCATCAGATTCCAATGAAGCCGCCATTGCGATTGCTGGGGTTTTGAAAGTCGCAAGTTTTCATTGCTATGGAATGTAGTAACAAAATCTTCAAAATACAGGAAATTTTTAATAGATCGGTGACAAGAAATGGGCCGACTACGGCGGAAGCCATCCTCCCAACCGCGTCACGCCCACCCGAGCCGGCTCAACGATTTTCATGCCCATTCATGTATTATCGTGCCGCGATTTTCGTGTATTTCACAACGTATCTGCTGCAAACCGTGACCTATAAATGTGCGGGTTTAAATAAATGCGTTGATGCCTTGCTCTTTATTAGTTACTATCCTTTCTCTCTCTCTCTCTCTCTCTCTCTCTCTTTCTCTCTCCCTCTATCTCTCTCTCGCTCTCACTCTCTCTTTCCCGCTCTCTCTATTTCACTATCTCCTCTCTATCTCTATATCCCCTCTCTCTCTCCTCTCTTTCTCTCTCGCTCTCCGTTTCTCACACACTCGCTGTCATTCTTTCCGGGAAGCGAACTTGCAGCATCTTACGCCCAGTCATGACCATGATGCTCCCCACCAAGACCATTCGCAAAAGGCAGTGTAAACATCGAAAGCTCAAACCCAGTGTAAGCACTCGAAACTTACGCGCCGTTATTCCGCCTTGATAAATTATTGCCCAAAGTGGGTGGATTGGCCACAAAAAAGTCGGCGATAAGCCAGCATAGTCTCCCGCTCAGTCGCCCATTTCGGAAAAAGCACACCTCTGAGCTCGTCTCTAAAAATGGGAATGCGGCTGCTTTTCCACATTGATCCGAATGATCGCCCGAATTTTGACGAGGTCTTGCTGAAGAATTTGGTGTCGCAGATCGCCGGCAGAAGGTATGTATTTTTTTCTTAACGCAGCTAATCAGGTTTAGACCAGCTGGCTTGTCTACTCCTAGTCAAAATATCGGGTCGATTCTCTCGCGCTTTTCAGTACCTTTAAAAGTAGTAGTAAAATGCCTAAATTTTACAAAAAAAAATTTAGGTGGCCGTCATCTCGGTAGTAGGAGGTTTTCGCGAGGAAAGTCATTTTTGACAACATCCTTGCTAAAAGCCCTGCAAGCCGGAAAGGCCGCCTTCCGTCCTGAAGTGAAACCATTGGTGCAGCAATCCAGTTGTTGCAAGTTTCAATTTTCATTATTTCTCAAATGTGCTAATTATAACGTTTTTAATGGTTTCGAGGCACCGCCGAGATCGAGTTCAAAAACGGTCCAGAGCGCCACACGATTGGGATACAAGTCTGGGATCAGATTTTTGTGAGAAAGGACACTTCCGGTAATGAGGTAAGGACGTGGTATTTTAGATTATGGCACTTTTCGGCGCCATTAATCGATATAAAAATTAGGTAGCAGTGCTGCTACTGGATACCCAAAGGGATGTTCGACACGCAGAGTCAGCTAAAGCACTCCACCATCATTTTCATGATTTCGCTGATGTTGTCATCGCATTTTATTGGGTTTCCAAAACGTTTCAAATCGTTACAAACCGAACCTACTGAACTTGATGTTCTCATCCGAACTCCCCCTACGCCGAGCATGTTGCCCGGTCGTCAAATCTTGCCTTCCTCTTTAACAAATTACTGAACTCCCAGGAGTGATGCTTCCCGTCACCATCCGTCCTATTGTTAGATCTTCAACAAAAACGGCTACCTCAGCCCATGATCTCGTCGATATGAACGTCTTTGTCGAAATGAGCCAGACGGGAAACAGAAAGTTGGACAGGTTTGCCGAAACTCAATCGACCCTTTCAAAAGTCTGTGATTTAGCATCTGTATTTTCTGATGCGTAGCTGGGGCCGGTGATGGTGACGGTTCGCTCCGCAATATCTGGAGCGAATTCGGGTTTGTATTAATCCTTTTGATAAAAGTTGACAGCGA